ACTACAGTAAGACGTCATGACATATTACACACTATCCCATCAGTAGTTCAGGATGAACTATGCCATTTTCACTACAGTAAGACGTCATGACATATTACAAACTATCCCATCAGTAGTTCAGGATGAACTATGCCATTTTCACTACAGTAAGACGTCATGACATATTACAAACTATCCCATCAGTAGTTCAGGATGAACTATGCCATTTTCACTACAGTAAGACGTCATTACATATTACAAACTATCCCATCAGTAGTTCAGGATGAACATCACCATTTTCACTACAGTAAGACGTCATTAAATATTACAAAAAAATGGCATAGTTCATCCTGAACTACTGATGGGATAGCACTACAGTAAGATGTCATTGCATATTACAAACTATCCCAACAGTAGTTCAGGAAAAACTATGCCATTTTCACTACAGTAAGACGTCATGACATATTACAAACTATCCCATCACTAGTTCAGGATGAACTATGCCATTTTCACTACAGTAAGATGTCATTAAATATTACAAATGGATATCTTACCAGCAATTCAATCATACCAAGAAATAAAAAGCAGAAGTGAAAAGGTTAGAAGCTGAGGCTGTTAGGATACATGATTGTTATGGTCTATTACAATCTGTAGTCATTCCAGAAAAAAATGGTATGTTTGATTTTTATTTCATATTTTTCAAATTTCCATTTTTCTGATTTCACTACAGTTGGTGTTAGGGTATAGAATATAAAAGACAGTTTTCAGAAAAAAAAATTCTAATAATTTTGGAGCTTTTAGAGGTTATGCAAATAAAATATGAAAATTGTAAGATGAAAATAAATATTTGTTTTCTTAACATGAAAATCGCCTTTCACTGAAACTGAATCAGTGAAGTCTTCATAAATTCAGAAATATCTATAAGTTAAAATACTGAATGATAAAAAAACAATTTTTTTGGTACAAGAGACTTGTGATTATTACTAAAAGCTTTTCAAATTTCATAAAAATACACTTCAGTTATAGTACACATGATTACTGTGGTTAAAAGATTGGTAAAACTAACTGAGCTAATATTCTTATTAAACAGGACTCTTAATAAAATAAGGTACATAAAGATAAAATCTTTAAAATTTAAGTGCCTGTGGTCTTTCTCTAACATTGTTTAAACAATATTACTTGGAGTTTTGTGAATATGAATTATTCGAAGCATATAAATTACTCTTGGAAAACTTACATCCAATAATTTAATGGCATTTCGATGATCCTCCTCTTCTCTCTCCAGTCGTGAACGATACAGCATGCAATCCTCTCTAAGTTGTTCGACCTGTCGCTGAAGATTCACCTTCGTCTCAGATTCCAAACGTTCCAGGTTATTCTACAGTACACACTTTAGATTTAGTATCAAGTTGCACTTATAGTAATTATACTCCTGTTTAAATATATAGGGCATTTAAAAATAATTTGTGTCAACATTATAAACTTTAAAAACAATACCTTAAGTAATGAGAAGTTCATGCTTTCATACTACTAGTAGGTTAATGTGACTAATACATCGTGTGAACACTGATCTACATCACACACTCTACTACTGTTTGTTTGACAGCTACACTAAGGGCTATTTGCACATAGCTGTCTCTAATTTTGAAGTGACAGACAAAGGGGAAGGTAGCTACTCAACGAAACATGCTACCAATCCGCTTTGAATAATATTATCTGATTAAAAAATATCTAATCATCATTGTTATGCAGCACCCATAGCCATAAAGTGCAGAGCACATATTTATAATAGCAAGCAGCAAATCACGAAACCCTGGTTTCACAAACCAAGCACACCAACCACTTGGCTAAGCCCAGTCTGACACTAGAATTATTAGAGCATTAACCCTTGTTAAGTGTCTCTATCATAACACTATACTACTAAATATTCATTTATGTTTAGGTTCAGATTTTATGTTGGCCAAAACAGATTCTAAACAGAATACATCCTGAACTGTGGTGAAAATGGTGTAGTTCATCCTGAACTACTGATCGGATAGTTTGTAATATGTCATGACGTCTTACTATAGTGAAAATGGCATAGTTCATCCTGAACTACTGATGGGATGGTTTGTAATATGCAATGATGTCTTACTGTAGTGAATATGGTGTTGTTCATCCTGAACTACTGATGGGATAGTTTGTAATATGCAATGACGTCTTACTATAGTGAAAATTTTTATCTTGATATGATTTCTGTCTTGGTGTGAAGTTTTTATCTTTTTATGATGTCTTTATCTTGATATGATTTCTGTCTTGGTGTGAAGTTTTTATCTTTTATGATGTCTTTATC